AAAAAAAAAAAAAAGAGAAGAGAATACGTTCGATTGGTAGAAGTAGACGTGCATGCATAATCAAATCAAGTTGGCATGATATCGTATTGTTCCCAACGGACTTATTGACTTGTCACAATTTTTAAAATGATGTGGGGCAAATAAATGATCCTTATTTCAATAGTGGAATTTGTGAAGTTTAGCTGCTAAGTAAGATTGTTAAAAGTAAAATGTCTAAATTTACTCTAAAGTTATGCAATAGAGATAAATTTATTCTCAAATTAAAAAAGCGAATCACCCCTACAATCCTTTTTAACTAGATAAATGACCTAAAATTTAACCCATGACGCCACGTCACTGTAAGCAGTATGCTAACTCCAAACTTAGCTGCCTAATTTTTCCATGCTGAACACATACAGCGGTCCCCTTCCCACCACCGTGGCACTTTCCCCTCTTTTTTCATCTCCATATTATTTGGGCCCTACTAAAAAGGTAGCCTTTCCCCCTTTTCTTATTTTAATGTCTCTTCCTGAAGGGTAATTAACTCTGTTATGTTAAATAAATGAAGCCTAAATCCCAATTAGTAAAATTGAAACAAATATATTAAGTCAATTAATTAAAATAAAGTAACTCAACTTTATTGTTTAATTAAAAAAATTAATTTCATTCAACTTAATCAAATATTGCAGTATAATTAAAAAAATTAAAAATTAAACAAATATCAAATTATTCATCAACCCATACATCGTCCCTGCAAATGGGTAAAGTTTCTCAACCTTTCACTCTTTCCAGTTTCCACCCTAACAAAACCCAGCAGTTTCCATTGTTGCTTTTTTCTTGTTCCTTACAAGACCAACTCCAGCGGTTTCCATGGCTGCTTTTTATTCTTCCTTAAAAAGCCCCTCAACCCAAGTCCGACATCTCCAAGAAGAGATGGCAACCACCGTACAAAAAATTTAAAAAATGATAGAAGATTTGGAGGAAGTAGGAGATCTACACGAGGCATTTGAAGATTCGAAGATGGATTTCGAAGAAGCCATATCTATATTTTGATTTTGGGAACCCGCTGAGAACTTAGATCTGGGTTCTCATCAAATGCCCCATGGGTTCGCTTCTTCATCTCAAAGAAAATAAAGATCAGACTTGTGGGTTTTTCCGTAATATTTATTGAAAATACATCATAATCCTTCAAAAGGTGAAAACTTTTTGTTTGAATTTGAAATTGGCATGTTTGGAAATTTTTGAAGGTGTCATTGGCCATATCGTAATCATGTTGAAAGCTTTTACCAAGGAAATGGCACCCATTTGTGAGCAGAATTGGTGTAGGTGTCCAGGCATGGGGTAATCACCTAGATATGTAGATCTTTTCTTTCTTTTTTTTTTTTTTAAAAAAAAAGACTAAAATTGAAATGTAGATCTGGTCTGGTTTAGCTAGAGAAAATTTAGAGAGTGGCATGAGTTTATAAATTTAAAGCAACGTGTAGGTTAATTTAGGAATGTGATAAGTACAAATCAATTAATGGGGGCCACATAAGCGTCCACGTGTTGGCCAGCTAAGCTTGGAGTTAAAGGATTGGTTAAGGAGGATGACGTCAAACCTTAAATTTTCACTAATTTGTCCAACTCAAAAAGGTTACAGGTGAATTGTCTTTTTCTTTCTTTTTTTTTTTTTTTTGAAGGGTAAATTTGTCCCACTGCATAATTTTGAAGATGGATATGAACATTATGCTTCTTTTTTAAAAAAAAAAATAACGAAGAATAGCACCATTACAGGCAAAGTTTTAAAAACCGAATCGGAGGTCAAACCGTTTTGACCTCTGGTTCCCGGTTTAACCGATTTAACCAGTTCAATCGATCAAACCGCCGGGTCACTCTAAATGAATAAATATAATGTTGTGTAGTACCTTAATAGAACAAGTGCGGTGGATCAACTGGTTTGTAACCTTATCCATTGTGGAGGAGGCACAAGTTCGAGCATGCTCCATGTTAAAATGTATGTAGAGTGTTTTTAAATTTTTAATGGGTTTTTTAATAATAAAATGTATAATATATGTAATTTTTAATTAATTTATATAAAAAATATAAATATTGACTTTAAAT